CTGTAGGGCCCCGTGTCTCACTGTGAGACTTCTGCTGCTGGGCCCTCCCTGAAGACCCTTCACTGGCTGTCCCCGGCCGTCTGCGACTTTCTTGGCTCTCTGGACTCTGAGCCCCCCAGAGCAGGGACTATGCATACAGCTGCTCAGTAAATGTCCACTGAATGGATGGTATCCAGAGGGTGTGAACTGGGGGGCCCAGAAGAAAGAACTCAGATAAAGTCAGGTTCCCTCTTGAGCCCACAGGTCCCTGGAGCGTGGGAACCAAGCAGGTTCTGCAGAGCGGAGGGGGAGGCAGGTACTTCTGACCCCAGGTATCCATCTGACGCTCCTTGTCAGAGCTTGGAGAGTCTCGAGAATGAGGAACTGCTGGATCCTCTGCTTCTCCAGCTTAGGAAGATCAGAGAATAAATAAACTTGCTGCTGCTCTCGGAAAACCCAGCAGAGGAGACCATGGAGACTTTGCCCTCAAGGCCTGGGGAACGAGGTGAGAGTTTATGGAGGCTGTGGGGTGGGGGAGAATCTTAGCCGGGTGTGGAGAGAGAAGGAGTTAGGTGGATGAGGAATTGTGGCAGGTGACGGGAAACGGTCTCTAAAGCACAGACGTTCCTGAGGTCCAGGTAGATAGTTCGAGAGCACAGGCGGGCACCACCTCATCTCATGGCTTCTTTCTCTTCCTGCAGCTCTTCATTCGCAAGCCTCGGCCCTTTCCCCAGGTGGAGACAAGACCAACTTTCAGGTGGGTTGAGTCTTCTTTTCTCTCTAGAAACACTTAGGGCATCAGAGAGTCAACATATCTCCCTTCCTTGGGAAAAGGAAAAAGAGAAAAAAATGTACTGGGGGTGAGTAATTACATTACTCATTGCGTTTATCCACCAACAGCTGTGTGAGAGAGAGGATATGATCTTATTTTAGAAATGAAGAAATGAGTGGTGAGTCCTGGATTTGAGCCAGGTCAGTGTGACTCTGTAATTTGCCTCTCTGCTCTGCATGCTGCTGCCAGTAATAGTTTCATCTCAGGGCCTGAGCCCAAATTATGCAGAGAGGTAACCCCAAGTAACGAATTCTCTTTCTCTTGTTAAGTGAAATGAGCAGCTTTACGAGGCAAAGATAAGTTTTAAAGAAAAGCAAGGCTTTCTTAAAAGGTGTGCGAACCGGGGAAGTACACCTCAACCCGCTAGTTGATAGGCGAGCCCCCGCTTGGTCTTTGGGTGGCTGGGGGTTAAAGGCAAAAAGTGCAGGGTTTGCAAGGCTAAGGCTGAGTCCATTTCTGATTGGTCACCCTTCCCAGCTACAGTGTGTCTTGTGCCCGGGACTTTCTAGATGTCCTGACTGCAGGGAAAGGCTACTGCATTGTTCTCCGGCCACTGGAGACAGTCAAGATTAAAATGTAATTTTCTATTTCTGCCCATAGCTCAGCCTTGAGGTGGTCGTGGTAACCGTCATGTTGATTCTGGCCTCATGCTTATTTGTTTCTTTTATCACTCTGCCTGTGTTTTTCTCCTCATTGGGATGTTTCTCTACTTCATGTATAGATGTCATATTCTCCTTGTAATACACCCTACTAAAAATTACATCGTGAACAAAGTTAAAAGACAGCATATTGGGGGAAAAGAACGTTTCATCTATGCCAAAATTTTAATACTCTTATTTTTAAAAGAGAGGTTTGAATAAAACCCGAGCATTCTTGTTCAGGAAGGAAGGAAAAAAGAAACACAAATGGCCCATAATCATATGAAAAGATGGTCAGCCTCTCTTAGTAAAAGTGATACTGATTAAAACAAGGTGGGATTCTTTTTCTAGCTGATGGCCAGAGATTTGAATGATCAGCATTCACTGTTAGCCAGAGTATGGAGAAATGGGAACATCCACACAATTGCAAGGGGCATTTCGGCCTGTCTGGAAGTTCTACATACCTCTGCTCCAGTATTTCCCACTGCAAGAATTTATTCTAAATCAGAGCAAGTGTTCAAAGGATGACCATTGCAGCATCGTTCATAACAGTGCAAAAAAAACAAACCTCCATTGGATTGATGTTATATTGATCAATTATTATGGTTTCATTCATTCTTTTATCTAGATCCTGTGCTATTATCAAGTGAGATAAAGTGGATAAAAATGTTAGGACATGGAAAGATGCTCCCTCTCTCTCTCAGTGTATGCATGCATTTATGTTAACTTACTTTTCCTTTAAATTGAGAAAAAAAGAAATCAAAGCAATTGTAGGATTTTAAGTACATGTTTTTTTTCAGCATGAGAGATTATTTTATAAAACCTTCTCTTATGAAAAGAAATTCCAAAAAAAATTTTGAAAGTTTGAGTCCCTTTCTTTTACTAAATGCTTTAATTTTAAATATTATTGCTGAACTGCTTGCTGTGAGGGCTAAAGAAATCAGCACTCTTTTACGTCCCACCATCTCCTGATATTCTGTTGTTGTTATTATCATTACCTTCTGATTTGTCACCATTGATTCCCAGAGGTGAGCTGTCTCAGTTCTGTCTGTATAAGTTGTTGCTCGCCACCTGTCTTTTACCACAGTTTCTTTGTTTCTGACTTTATTTTGATTTATCTGTAGGTTGGCTTAATTTCATGCACACTTTGTTTTTTCCAAAGAAGACTTGTGGATGCTGTATCCACTGAGTTTTTGCTCAAGTGGCAAATTGTCTGGGCTTAAAATTCTTCATTCATACTTTCCAATCTTTGTATAAGTTACTTCATCTTCTGCTGGCGTTAAGTCTTGTGATGGTTGTTTTTCTCATGGCTTCTCCGTTCATCTTCTGGTGAGCAAAGTTTATTCTGGTCATTTTTTCCAGAAAGACCTGTTGTGTTTATACTTGACAACATCTTGGCTGAGTGTCATTTTGAAGGGTCACACTGTATTGCCCTTGCTTTGTGATCTTATGGCATTTAAGTAGTTCTTTTTCTGCCTGGATGTCTATTGTGACTATTATTTTATTCATTGGGTCCTCCTGGAACTTCTATTGTAAATGGTATAACTTTTAGATCTATCTTCCCTGTCCTTTAACTTTTCTTTTGTTCTCTTCTTTGAAATTCTCCATTGTGTTCCAGGAGCCTGCTCTGTTTTCCAGTTCACTGGCTTGTTCTTCCCGAGTGTTCATTCTACTGCTTAGTTCGAGATCTCTTGAGGTTTTTTTTTTTTCCCCCAATTATAGCAGTGATTTTTTTACAGTTCTAAGAACTCTGATTATTTTTTTTCTAGCAAGTTCTTCCCCTCTGCAAAACAAAAAAATCTAGTGAATGTAGCTTTTGAGTCCTGTGTTTTAAGACTGTCTTAACCTCTTCAGAAGCCACTGTGGTTCACTACTATGAGACCTTTCTCCTGCCTCACCCCACCTTCTAGCCACATAAAAGGGTTACCGTGGGACTACCACCAACATATTTTTGGATTGTCCACCTGACTATCTCATAGTATTAAGCCTGTGCAACTTGGCCATGTTAATAATACTAGCTTACATATATTTTATTGTGAACGTCAAAATAAAAATTTAATACAAGTCAGACAATACCAAGGTCTATACGAAAAAAATTAGGTTTCCCTTTCCAATTCTGTCCTCCCTAATGTGCCCACCATTAACAAAAAGATGTGTATCCATCAACATCTTTGTCATGTGAAAATGTATATACATAGGTTGTTCCCTTTTTATTTTTATTTTTTTATTGAGGTCACATTGGTTTATAACATTATATAAATTTTAGATGTACGTCATTATATTTCGACTTCTGTATAGACTGCATCGTGTTCACCACCAGAAGTCTAGTTGCCATCTGTCACTGTACACATATGCCCCTTTACCCTTTTTGCCCTCCCCCCACCTCCTTCCCCTCTGGTAACCACCAATCTGTTCTCTGTATCTGTGTGTGTGTTTGTCTTCCACATATGAGTGAAATCATACAGTATTTGTCTTTCTCCGTCTGACTTAATTCCCTTAGCATAATACCGTCAAAGTCTGTCCATGTTGTCGCAAATGGCAAGATTTCATTTTTTTTATGGCTGAGTAGTATTCCATTGTGTATATATACCACATCTTCTTTATCCGTTCATCCGTTGATGGGCACTTATGTTGTTTCCAAGTCTTGGCTATTGTGAATAATGCTGCAGTGAACATAGGGGTGCATAAATCTTTTTGAATTAGTGTTTTTGTGTTCTTTGGATAAATACCCAGAAGTGTAATAGCTGGATCATATGGTATTTCTATTCTTAATTTTTTGAGGAATTTCCATGGTTTTCCATAGTGGCTGCACCAGTTTGCACTCCCAGTAGCAGTGTATGACAGTTCCCTTTTCTCCACATCCTCTCCAACACCTGTTCTTTCTTGTCTTTTTAATAATAGCCATTCTTGTGGATGTAAGGTGATATCTCATTGTTGCTCCCTTTTTTAAACAGAAATGCACAAGTGGATGTTTTACATGTAGTCCATATTTTACTACTATAAGATATTCCATTCAGATTATTACCAGTTTTAGCACTACGACCAGTACAGTGATAAATCTCCTTTCCTACGCACAGACACATATGTTCTCGTATTCTGTGCTTTAATCTTTAAATTCTATAGTATAGATTTCTAAATATTGCTGGGCCAAAAAGAATGCACTTCTTTCAAAATTTTTTAATATATTATTGTCAGACTATTTGAGAGAAAATCGTAGCAATTCATGCTGTTTCCACATACCTTCAACTCCAAGGATATATCAATACTAAATGTTTCTGCTGATCTGATGAGGGTGTGTGGCAAAGATCTCCCATTTTACTTTACAGTTCCCTGCATAGTAAGCTTGATGAGCATCTCTTTGTATGTTTCTTGGCTGTATTTGTTTTCTCATCTGTGAATTGCTTATGAAATGCTTTTGCCCATTTTTTCATTAATTCATTTCTTATCATATTTTTAGGAGTTCTTTCGATGGTAGGGTTGTTAACTCTCCTATCAAAAGTGTCACAGTTAGAGGAAGATGGGCATGGATGTTAGCCCAGGGCCAATCTTCCTCCACAAAAAGAGGAGGATTAGCAACAGATGTTAGCTCAGAGCTACTCTTCCTCACCCACATACACACAAAAAGTATCACGATTATTTTCTCTCAAACTTTCTGAATGGCGACTTGACCATAAAGAAGTTTAAAATTTGACATAGTGAAATGATTTGTTAGTTCCCTTTTGAAAATCTGGTTTCATATCTAGTTTCAAAAGACCATACCCATCCTAAGCTTAATGAAAAAAGCATCTAAATGATTTTTTAATATTTGTATTAAAAATTTTTCATCTCTAGTATGACTCATTTATTTTGGTAAATGACTCAAGGTTGACATTTAACTTCATTTTCTTCAAGATGGGTAGCTAATTATGATGATGCTATTTATTAAATTAATCATTCATTTGCAAGTCAACTGAAATACCATCCTTATCATTTATATATTTATTTTTATATTTATCTATGTATGTATATAGATATGTATAAAATATGTATGTATATTATACATGTGGGGAGAGAGAAAGAAAGATAACAATCGATTCATCTTTTACATGATCTCCCTGTTCCTGCATTCTGTACTGTGGTCCTCTGAGTTACTTGAACATCTTCGGCATTGCTTATACTATTTATACTGAACACATACTTTTGAAATGAAAAATTATGAAGAAAAAATGAATAATGTTAGAATTAAAGTCTGGCTAAACTTAGTCATGATGTTCTTCAAACCAGGTGTGCTTTCTCATAATAGAACTTGAATACCTTTCTTCAGTCATTTGTGTGGTCGTTGATCTGTTCACGTTTTCTTTCATTGGTGTGTTCAGCAAGTATTTCTTGCACGCCGGCTATGGGCCATACGTAATTCTAAGCACTGGTGATGTATCAGAGAACAGAACAGGACATCCCTGCCCTCGTGGGGCTGCCATTCTAGAGGAGGGAGACAGGTAGTAAATAACTTAAAAACAAGATAACTGCTCTCACATATTTTGAGGGACATGGGCAGGGTGAACTGTGAGAGTATCTACAATCATCTAAGCAAAATATGATGATGAGTCAGACTAGAGAGATGGAAGTAGAGATGGGGAGAAGTGGATAGATTTGAAGTGTATTTTGGCATAATAGCAGACTTTTTTATGAACTAGATGTGAGAAATGAGGAAAAGGGAAGAATCAATGATGACTAAGGTAGATAGTACTTGTGTTTAGCCTCATGGGGTTGATAGGAGAGAACTATTTGGGAGGAAAGACTCCATTCTGTTTTGGTGTTTTTTGCTTCATGATACCTTTTAGACCTCCAAGTGGTGGTTGGATAAGGCAGGACTCAGTGCAGAAGGCTGGACTGGATATAAAGATTTGGGAGTTGGTAGCTGGTCCACATCTGTTTAATTAATTGCCAAACCAACTGCCTCTGGCCTCAGCTTTCTCCCTCCTCACACTGCCTCTGGTCTTGGGATTGATCTAGGATTCTGCTGGGAAATGTGCTCTCTTGGTGGTACTCCTTCTCCAAAATGGGAATGTGGGTTCCTCTGGTCTGTGATCCTTCTGCTCTCATTTGGGCAGCCATATAGCAGAGTGGTTAGAGCATGGTTAGTCAGACCGCCCGAGTTCAGTCCTGGCTGTGCGCTTATTGGGTGTATGTTCTTGGATGAATGATACTCACTTTTCTGAGACCTCGTTTCTCTCATCTGTGAAATGGGGATAGCAATAGTAACTGCCTTATAAGTAGTTACTGACAATAGATAATAGAGCATTTCCGACATTCCGGGAAGTTCTCATTTTCTGTGAGTTCCATGAGGATTAAATGAGACAGGTCATGTAAAAATACTTAGCCTAGGGCCGGCCCGGTGGCGCAAGCGGTTAAGTGCACGCGCTCCGCTGTGGTGGCCTGGGGTTCGCAGGTTTGGATCCTGGGTGCGCACCGACGCACTGCTTGGCAAGCCATGCTGTGGCGGCGTCCCATATAAAGTGGAGGAAGATGGGCATGGATGTTAGCCCAGGGCCAGTCTTCCTCAGCAAAAAAAGAAAGAGAAGGATTGGCAGATGTTAGCACAGGGCTGATCTCCTCACAAAAAATAAATAAAAATAAAAATATATGAAAAAAAATACTTAGCCTAGTGCCCACCTCCTAGTAAAGTTGCTATAAATATAAGGTATTAATAATATCTACTTTATATCTTCTCATTTTCTGCTCCCCTGGTAACATACCTCTTGGCTTTCATAGGACAGTTGTTAAAGTATGATGCCTCTGGAACTAGGCTCTGTGTGTTCACGTTCTAGCTCTTTCTCATACTAGCTGTATGACCTTGGCCGAGTTATTTGACCTCCTGGTTTGGGGGTCCCCAAGACCACCCCATGTTTGGAGATTTGCTAGGACTCACGGGGCTCAGTGTGTATTTTACTCATGGCTAAGATTTCTCACAGCCACACACCTGGCTGTATCTGGCTTCCTCCAGACTTCATGTGCCTTTTCCCTCTGCTGATTTTGCTATTTTTTGTTTTCTTCTAACCATAATAAGTCTTAGCTATGAGTGTGACTGTGTACTGAGTCCTGTGAGTCCTCCAAGCGAATCAGAGAATTTGGGGATGGTCTTGGGGCATACCAACACAAGCCCCATCAAGGCAGAGTTGTGTCTTTCTTGCTTATCTCTCTAATTCCTGGGCCTAATAGTGTTTTGTAGGTACTGAATATTTCTTGAATGAGTAATAACATTGACATGCATGCACCAAACCTTACTAGCGCTATCTTGCCTTCCATCTTATTAAAAATATATCCATGAATTTTTTTTTAAACTGTGAAATACCTGTGGAATCACAACTCACTCTTTCTTGTAATACCTTGTCACAGGTATTCCAGGGACAGGCCAAAGGTAAAGTGTAATTCTAAAAGCCCTCATATACATTTGTCTCCCTCTCAAGAAAGCATGTCACAGTCTAAGTGAAGACAGTGATGATATAGGAATATAGTTGATTGCTATATTTCAGAGGATATAACTGCCATTTTCTCCTTGCTGAACTGGAGCAGTTTGCGTAAAAACTTGGGCCATGATTCATAACTGAGGCTGACACAGCACGACTGAAAACTCTGCAGTTTGAAGCGCCGTATTAGAGGTCTCCTCTGGGTGGAGGGTGGTTGCATAAACACACGTTGGCTGCTTCTGTCAAGTGCTGACATGGTAGCCCATAAAAGATGTGTCTATGGAGGGGATGGGGGGCTATGGCAGTAAAGGGCAGATTTGCCCAACTGCTGGTGGAGGGGAGAGGGGTGGTTGGTGAAGAACAGTCCTGGTGGCAAAGAATGGTTTTGGGGTGTGTGCAGATGTGGGCCCTCTAAAATTAGGCGCTATTGGAACTGTAAGTTGTCATGGTCTTTTTAGAGGAAGAGTCAATAATCTCAAGTTAGAGTCAACTTGTAAAATGCGCAGATCCTGTGATTCAACCGTACCAGGTCTAGGAAGTTGCCCTCAGAAGTGCTCACACCGAGCAAAGAATGTTCCTTGCTTTACTCTAGGTAATCGTGGAAGATCAGTGGGTTAGAATCGGAATGATTGGCACCAAACGTTAATAAAACCTGATCTGACTTGCCAAACTGAACACCATCTTGCTTTCTTGTCTACTTTTCTTAGTGATGCCAAGTAAGTTATAGCAAACTTACTTTTCATCTAGTGGGTGTTCGTGTTGATGGTGCTTCCCATTCTAGGAGCCATTGACCTTCGAGGACGTGGCTGTGGTCTTCACGGAGGAGGAGCTGGGGCTGCTGGACTCCGCCCAGAGGCAGCTGTACCGAGACGTGATGCTGGAGAACTTCAGGAACCTGGTCTCTGTGGGTGAGGGGAGCCTCTGGTTGATTGAAACTTAACTTATTGGAGTGTTCTGGTTCCCCAGAGAAGATATTTTTGGTGTTTGTACACAAGTTAAATCCTTTTTTTTTTTTTTGTGAGGAGATCAGCCCTGTGCTAACATCTGCCAATCCTCCTCTTTTTTTGCTGAGGAAGACTGGCCCTGGGCTAGCACCCGTGCCCATCTTCCTCCACTTTATATGGGACGCCGCCGCAGCATGGCCCGCCAAGCGGTGCGTCTGTGCGCGCCCAGGATCCAAACCGGTGAACCCTGGGCTGCCACAGCAGAGCGCGTGCACCCAACCGCTTGCGCCACCGGGCCGGCCCCAAGTTAAATCCTTTTTTTTATAGAACTGCTAGAAAGTAGTTGCATTTGGCCAGTCCCAAATCTTTTCCTGTCTGTCCTTCACAGGCCTGAAGGTCATGGGATTAGGGCTGCATTTTCAGATTCCTTTTTGCACCTCAAAAATGAGCCTAAGCCTTGCATTTCATGCATTTTCAGGACAACAACCTTTCCAACCTGATAAGGTACCCCATTTGGAAAAAGACAGAGAGACTTGGGTGACACAGAGAGACACTCCAAGAGATGCACATCCAGGTGAGAACCATGGAGCCTTGAGTCCTAGCTGGGCAGTGAGGGGATCAGCGTGAGACAGAGGCCCAGTCCTCACCGTTGATCTTCCTGTGGATCCTGCTGGAATCATTGTAGCTGTTTGTTCTGCAACCTCCTTTCTACTGCTCAGTCCCCACCTTCTCATGGTTGCTTCATGCTTTTCAGAGAATGACATACCCGGAGCGAGTGAGGGATCTCTGGACTTGCCTCCCTCTGATCGAAAGAGTCAGGCTGTGTAAGACAAGCCAGTGACAGAGAGACTGTTCCAGAAGATTGAGAGTCCTCTGATGGATTTCTCACTGAACTCCAATATCCTATAAGTCCCTAATTGTAAACAGATTCATGTTACCTCAGCTCTAAAAGAAAAAAATAGCCTTCAAGGCCGGCCCTGTGGCATAGTGGTTGGGTTCAGCGCGCTCTGCTTCAGCAACCCGGGTTTGCAGGTTCGGATCCTGGGTGTAGATCTACACTACTTGTCAGCCATGCTGTGGCGGTGACCCACATACAAAATAGAGGAAGATTGGCAACAGATGTTAGCTCAGGGTGACTCTTTCTCAGCAAAAAACCAAAAAAAAGATAAAAATAGCCAACAAAGAATTTCAGAATGTGTGGGCAAATTTTTAAAATCATCTGGAACTATGTGGTAAATATGCCAGTTTGATGGCTTGCAATCAGTAAGGGGGATAACTTGCTATTTTTATGTCTCTGTGCCTTACCAGTGTCATCTGGATTCCTGTTTAATATGCTCACAGAAGCCACAGACCCAGCTAATACATTTAGGGGATTTGGTACTAGGTTCCCTTCCCAAGTTCAGCTCACACATACCCACAGTTAAACCTACTCCGGGGGGCAGTGAGGAGAGAGCGTTAAGAGTGGGCTCTACAGCTAGACTTCCATGTTTGAATCCCCCCTCACCACTTTCTCACGGCATGGTGGGGTAACTTCACTAGTTACTTTCCCTGTCTGTGCCTTGGTTTCCTCATCTATAAAATGAAGATTATCATGGTTCCTACCTCAGTGTTATTCTGAGGGTTAAATAAGTTAATATGTATACATCGTTGGCACATAGGAAGTGTTACAATAGTGTTAGATGATATTATTATGATTATTATTATTATTAGCACCAATGGCATTACTAAGTGAAGAAGTGAATTTTCTCTGTAAAAATCTGTGCAGAATTTCTTTTTTGCTTGGTAACTATATGAAGCATAGTTTGTTACTAATAGATCATATTAACATTTAGCTTCAAAGCTTATTAATAGGAGCCTCTTCCTTTTTTCAGACATAAAAATAAATGCCATGATAGTTATTACACATAAAGCTTAATTTTTCTCTAGGCCATTATTGGCTGAAGTCTGAAAGCCTGATATCCCTGAGCTGATCTTGTACTTGTTCTCATAAGTTGTCTTTAACCCCGTAGGAGACAAGAATGAAAAGGATTTGGAGTATATTCGAGAAAAGGAATTAAAACTCCTTTCCTACAGAGAGCTCTTTTACTGGAAAATCTGGGAACAGGTGGCCAGTGAATTAATGGGGAGTCAAAACCATAGTGTAAATCTTCAAGAGAAAGGTTTCCAGTTCTCGGAAGATGGTTCTCTCTGTCAAGGAGCATCTACTCAGGGTTCCCAGATTGAAAATGTCGTGGATGGTCTTCAAGGGGATGGGCCCATGAATTTAGAAAATCAAGAGCTTCCATCCTGGAAAGCTGTAAGGCCAGTCTCCATTCAAGAATCTTGGATGAAAGCCTTTGTGAATGAACCATGGAATGTTCTAGAAAGATGTAAAAAACTCAACATGGAAGATGCAATATATAAATGTGACTGGGATGATTATGGCTTCAGCTGGGTTTCATGTTGTCATGATGACCACAGATTACCTGAAAGAGAAACCCCATGTCATGGTGATAAATGCAGAACAGATTGCATTAAAAAGTCAGTACTTCATCATCCTAACCCTAGAGAGAATGACTTTGAAAGAAACGAATGTGGAAATGGCCTCAGGGACGATTCAAACCTTCCTACTCATCCCAGAGTACCCTTGAAAGAGAAACCCTATAAATATCATGAGTTTGGTAAAGGCTTGTGGCAGACTGCCTATCTTGAGAGACATCAAAGAATTCCTTCAGGAGAGAAGTCATTTAAAAGTGACGAGTGTGGTCGGGGCTTCAGGCAGAACATACTCAGTCCCAGGATCCACATGGGGGAGATGCCCTACAGATGCGATATGTGTGGGAAGGGCTTCAGGTATAGATCAGTTCTTCTTATTCATCAGGGAGTGCACACAGGAAAGAAACCCTACAAATGTGAGGAGTGTGGGAAGGCTTTCGGTCGGAGCTCCAACCTGCTTGTCCATCAGAGAGTCCACACAGGAGAGAAACCGTATAAATGCAGCGAATGTGGAAAAGGCTTCAGCTATAGCTCGGTGCTTCAGGTCCACCAGAGGCTGCACACGGGGGAGAAGCCCTACACGTGCAGCGAGTGTGGCAAGGGCTTCTACGCCAAGTCCGCACTCCATAAGCATCAGCACGTCCACCCGGGAGAAAAACCCTACAGCTGCGTCGACTGTGGGAAGGGCTTCAGTTGCAGCTCCCACCTCAGCAGTCATCAGAAAACGCACACAGGAGAGAAACCCTACCAGTGTGACAAGTGTGACAAGGGTTTCAGTCACAGCTCATACCTTCAGGCTCACCAGAGAGTTCACACAGGGCAGCGTCTCTATGAATGTGATGTGTGCGGGAAGAGTTTCAGTTACAGCTCAGGGCTCCTCATGCATCAGAGACTGCACACGGGGGAGAAACCCTACAAATGCGAATGTGGGAAGGGCTTCGGCCGAAGCTCAGACCTCCACGTCCATCAGCGGGTCCACACGGGGGAGAAACCCTATAAATGCATCGAGTGTGGGAAAGGCTTCCGGCGGAATTCAGACCTTCATAGTCACCAGAGGGTCCACACGGGAGAGAGGCCCTACATCTGTGATGTGTGTGGGAAGGGCTTTATTTATAGCTCCGACCTCCTCATCCATCAGAGGGTCCATACGGGAGAGAAACCCTATAAATGTGCCGAGTGTGGCAAAGGCTTCAGTTACAGCTCTGGGCTTCTCATCCACCAGAGGGTCCACACAGGTGAGAAACCCTACAAATGTGAAGAGTGTGGAAAGGGTTTCAGGTGCACCTCAAGCCTTCACAAACATCAGCGAGTCCACACGGGCAAGAGGCCCTATACGTGTGATCAGTGCGGCAAGGGATTCAGTTACGGCTCAAATCTTCGCACCCACCAGAGACTGCACACGGGAGAGAAACCCTACACATGTTATGAATGTGGAAAGGGCTTCAGATATGGTTCGGGTCTCCTCAGTCACAAGAGAGTGCACACTGGAGAGAAACCATATAGGTGTGATGTGTGTGGGAAGGGCTACAGTCAGAGCTCCCATCTTCAAGGTCATCAGAGGGTCCACACCGGTGAGAAACCATATAAATGTGAGGAGTGTGGGAAGGGCTTTGGTCGAAGCTCCTGTCTTCATGTCCATCAGAGAGTCCACACTGGGGAGAAGCCGTACAAGTGTGCAGAGTGTGGGAAAGGCTTCAGTTACAGCTCAGGGCTGCGGAATCATCAGAGAGTGCATTTAAGTGAAAAGCCTTATAAGTAGATGTGAGTTGAGGTCTCCAGGTAGAACTCAGAACTTTGGTTTCATCTGAGAGCCAACACGGGAGAAAAACTCTATGAATGTCTTTGTGCAGGAAGGGCTGTAATAGAGGCTGACATTTTCGTAGTCAGCGGCTGGTCTGCGTAGGAAGGAAAGCTCTGGAAGTTTGATCAATGGGGAAAGCACTTAGTCACAAACTTCAGTCTTCAAGAGTCTATTTGCAGCAGAATAGTCCTTAAAGACATGACACGGCAGTGGCTTCAGTAAAAATCATCGCCTTCATCAGAGTTGGCCTAGGAGGGAGCTTTGACAAATCATATGAGTAGTGAGAATATGAAAGGAGCACATTATGGACATGGATTCCTTGTGGGGGCGAAATACCTACGGATGGGACAAATGTAGGGAAAAAGTGTCACTAAAACCAATATTGTATGTATTTTTTAGAAGGTAGTTTTTATAAAAATTAAAAGATGGTAATGTTCATTGAGACAAGTCACTTTTAGAAGGCCAGGAACAGTGACAAGGAAAATCCTTCTCTGGGCGGGTCTGGGTAATGTCTCTCCATCACGTTTTCATCGTGTTTCTGTGGTTGTGGGTTGTCTCATGGAGGTAGACTGCTCTCAGAGAGAAGCTGTACTAAACTGCAAGAATATTTCATTTTCTCAAGTTTTAAAAACAAAATCTGATTGGGCTTTTCATTGGCCTTGCATTGAATTTAGATTTAATTTGGAAAGAACTTACATCTTTGAAATGCTGATTTTTTTTTTTTTTCCCCGTTTTGACGGTGCCATGTGTTTCCACTTACTGAAGTATTTTAAATGATCTCTCGGTAATATATTTTAGAGATTTAAAAAAATAGGTTCTGAATATTCTTAATTACATTTCTAGGAATTTTTTTTTATTGCCATCATGAATATAATATTTTTACCCTATTTCATTTCATAGGGTTTTTTTTTAAGTATAAGACAAACGTTAAAACATTTTCAAAAGGAGAAATACCATTTTAACTTGTCAAAATAGCAGTGATAAGACAGATTGAGCGAAGCCACGTCTGTGAGGATCTGTGGAAACACACCCTTATTGGTGAGAGTGAAAATAGTCTTTTTTGAAAGAATTTGTCAGTGTATTGAATTCAATTTGCATAACTTTTGAAGTGGCAACAAGTGTGTAGTTGTTTATACTTGGGATATAGTTGCAAATATGGGAAAAGTATGCCTAAGGATGAGTTTTGTAACATTTTCTTACAATAGCAAAAAAGAAAATGTTAATACTCCAGGTGTAATAAGTTAAGGCACATGTTTATGAGGGAAAACCACTAAAAATATTCAGATACACCTATGATGCTGTTGAAGGTTGCCCACGAGCTATTTAGTGAACCAAGAAAGTTGTAGAACAACAAGTATAGTATGACCCCATGTTGTTAATATGTTTTTATGTGAATGTATGTTTATAGAGAGAAAGAAAGAAGATGTGTGAAAGGTCGATATCATAACTCATCTCCAGGAGGTGGGATGGGGGTGTGTAATACATTCATGTCCTTTCACATATTTTACTTTTTAGCAAAGAGTATCAATTTTATATCAATAGTAAAGCTATTTTTTTTAAAAAACATAGTCTAATGGAACAATCCTTTATGGTCAAAGATCCATATTATAACCTCTATAATACCTTTGGCCTTTTCTACTGTTTCGTCAGCACCCAGTACCAAATATAAGGGATGCAAATGAACTGGAATTTGTGATTGAGATATTTCAGAGGCTGCATCATTTGTCCTGGCTGGTAGGAGGTGAGGCAGTCTGGGTCATTGGGAGGAGATTTGGTGCTTCCGTGCTGCCTTCTGGCCCTCTGGGACCAGGGAGCCCACAAAGCTGGCTTCGTAGAGGGCAGTGTGCTAGCATGTGCTCCCTCCAGGCTGACTTGTCCATCTGGGTGACTCAGGAGACCCGGGTGTGGCCTGCGCAGAGCTCCTCTCTGCTGCCTGGGGCTGCTAAACCAAGAGTCTAAGATTTAGGCATCTCAGGAAGGTGTGGAAGGGGCACTTAAATCTAAATAAATAGTTAAAGAGTATATGTAGAGGTCAGAAGCAAAGTGTTGATACCAAGGAATTGTTAGCTTTCAGAAAGAGACTTGAAAAAAAATCTACAGTATGTTATAGAATAGCAGCAGGGTCACTCCGTGATGGGGTGGATTTTATAGCCAAGAAACAAATGTAGACACACCTCAGACCTTCAAGGTTTGTGGGTGAAAAGTTTAACTCACTCAGTGGATTTCCAAAGGTGGACAGCGGAAGACCCAAGCATCCAGAAAGCTGGGGGCAGAGGACCTGCAGTGGGACAGTTCTATGGTAACAGAAGGGAAGCCAGTGTGACTGAAAGGCACCAAATGAAGGAGAAAGTGTAGGAGATGTGTTGAGAGGAGTAGAGGAATGTGGTGGATTACTGATGGCTACAGATTCTTTCCTTCTGTTGAGAGGTGAAGTCTAGTTCTCATTCCCTTGAATCAGGGCTGGCCTTGGTAACTCGAGTGACTAATAGAAGATGGCGGAAGTGATGGTGTGCCAGTTTCCAGGCCAAGGCCTTAAGGTCTAATAAAGTGTCTGCTTCCCGTCTTTTGGAACACTCACTCTTGGAGCTCTGAACTGCCACGTGAGGCTAACGGAGCCCAGCCATCCCCACCAAGGCACCAGGCATGTGTGTGAAGCCATCTTGGTCCCTCTAGACCACAGGGATCCCAATGGATGCCATGGAGAGCAGAAGATAACCCTGCTGAGCCCTACCTGAATTTCCCACCGGTCAAATCATGACACAGGGTAAAATGATAGTTGATATCAGCTGCTAAATTTGGGGGTCATTTGTTATGCAAATAGCAATAGATAACTAGAATGGTGGAGGACAAAATTACGCAGGAGTTTGTAGGTCCTGCAAGGAGTTTTTAAGCAAAGCAACAATCTGATTTCTGACTTGAAGGGAAAAAAATCACTGGCTAATGTGTGGAGAAGAATTTTGGAGAGACAAAACTAGAAACGTGAGAACAATTGGGAGGGTCTTGCAGGTCAGAGATGTCCAGGTGAGGGATGGCGGTGGCTGGGACTCTGGGGTAGCAGTGGAAATGGAGAGGAGTGGATGGGTGTGAGATATATATTTGAAGGCAAAACAGGACTTTCTAACAGATGAGATGTGGAGATTGAGGGAAAGGGTGGAATTGAGGGTGATTCATGAGATTTTGGCTTTAGCCTCTGGGTAGATGGCGGGGTCATTGACTGAGAGAGAAGACAAATTAAGTGCAGGTGAGGGCTTAGTTCCATGTTGGAATATTAACTTTACAATTCTTGGTATACATCCAAATAGAGATATCAGATAGCTAGTCTCCGTATTACAGCATCTTCTCTGCTCTTTTCCCAATCACTTCAACAATTGCGCCTATAATTAGCAATTAGGCATTCCCAAATAAAGTCAAATGGAAAAGCTTTGGGTATTTTCACAGTACCCATCTGGTGTTAGAATCTGGGCATTTAGCATTCTATAACACACAGCATCTGCTGGCTAACCCTATAAAAGTCTATCTGACATCAGGAACCGAAGACATAAACCCTATTAACAGAGGAGCCAGCTCTCTGCTCAAGACTGCTTCTTTGGGAAAAGGTGCAGGGTGGAGGTTCCATCAGTGGGAAGGTTCTCCTTAGGATGGTACCCACTGGCCTAAAGGAGTCTAAGATCTTAACTGTGAAGCTGAACTAAGCGTGGATGTGCCGAGGTTGTGGCAGGTTAACCAGTTGTGCCACAGTGGTCTGCTGACTGGACAGACCCTGTTCTCCAGGAAGTCAGGTCTGAAGTGGTGAATGAACTGATGGTACTATCTTATGAACCCCAGAAATCACTACCTGTCTGTTAGTGGCTAGGAGAGGAGGGCATGAAGAAGTGAGACTTCAGTCCGTACCCCCTACTTCAAGTTCTGAACTCTATCTCATGCATATCAGAAGATTCTTGGGGACCCAGGATGTGGTTCAAAACTCCTTGACTAATTGTTAACTTTAAAAAAAATCAAGATGCACAACAATTTAATATTGTCTCATTTGTGTGGAGGAACAAATATGTGTGCAGAGACATATATCTGTATATCTAGTCGTGTCGCTTAACGATGGGAGTATGTTCTGAGAAATGCTTCGTTAGGTGATTTTGTCATTGTGCAAACATCATAGAGTGTACTTACACAAACCTAGATGGTATAGCCTACTATACATCTAAGCTCTGTCGTACTAATCTTATGGGGCCACGGTCCTTTGTTGATCAAAACATTATGCAGAGCATGGCTGTACCTACAAACACTCACAGTAGACTTGGGGATTTGAGATGGGAAAGGAGACTTATTTTTGATTGTATACACATGTTTGTAACTTGGAATTCTTAGCTGTGCAATTGAAAAAAGAATCTAGCAGATAAAGAGACTCCTGTCTAAAAAATGATTTCAGTGCTCACAAGTATACAACCCTCAAAGTTGGCTCTGAGGTATTATTACAAAAGGCCACTGACGTCTGTTGGGACATTGGCATCGTGGTCGGTCGGTGAGGGAAGTACCTCTAGTCCCATCCAGCTGGTGCATGCCCGGTTCATCAGCTGCCAAAAGCCAGGACATTATGGCCATCAGATGGCCTCACAGAGAACTTGTACCAAACAGGGTGTCTAGAAAACCATCTTAAACATATCCTTGTCCCAGATGCTGGAAACCTGTGGTCCTCTGTGGGACTGATTTTCTAGAAACCCAAGTCCAGAAGATCAATAGACTCTACCTTGCTTCTAGAGCGTCCGGGATCAGGGAAAGCACACAATTGTCCCAGATGGTGACGACATTACTGTGACAACGGTTCTGACAGAGGCAAATGCATTTCTCCCCACAAAAGTGCTGGGGACTTCAAAGAGTAAGTAGCTAATGGGGCTGCTTCTGGAGGTGATTTCAGATCACATAGTAACTGGCGATATGAGTCATGTTGCTCTAGAACAGCGCTGTCCAATAGAAAC